TACCCTTTATATAATTTTTCTTATGACGGTGGTGTCCGAGCCAGCTCGTGCGTACCTCGACTATTCCACCAGGTACTTTCTATCTCCCACCAACACAGGTACCGGGTAACTCTATCCAAGGCCTAGACATAGGGGAAAAATCATGTAGTGTTTTTACCCTATATAATTATTTTATCTTGAGATGATCCAAATTTGGACAAATTCTAAATCTCAATTTCATTTCAACAAATAACAAAATAATTTCAGTATACTCATGTTGACTGAATTTCAGGTGAAGTCCATATTTCTACAACTAAGTTCCAATCCCATCAACATTGAGTTTTTAATCTTACCCTTTTCATCTATACACAAAATGACATAACCCCTTTTGATTTAACTCATCAAGATTGGGTTTTTAATCTGACCCTTTTGATTTAATCCATCAAGATTGACTTTTTAATAAAACCCTTTTGATTTAATCCATCAAGATTGAATTTTTAGTCTTTATTGACCATTTTCAGATGCAAATTTTGCATTTAAATCAGATAAAACAGTTCAATAAACTGAACAATTTATAGCATAAAGAGCAAAGTAGTTTAAAAAAGAGAAACTGAAATATACAAGGTAATTACTAAAATATATGAGTATAGATCAGAGAAAGGGGACTTACCGTTGAAGTCTTGAGAAATTAATTCATGGAGATAGGAAGAAGAAGAAGAAAAAGGAAATGGTGGGGTGGTTGTGTGGGGGTGGTGGGGTTAAGAAGGAGCAGAAGATGAAGTCAAAATAGACATATCTAAAGAATGTACCAAAAGTGANACCCAAAAGAGTCCACGCCTAAATATCTTTTTAGAGCCCCGTTTGGACATAAGAATTTTTTTCACTTTTTTTCGAAATTTTTTTACTTTTTTCAAATTCAATATTTCGTCATAAAGTTTTCAATTTTCATTTGAAGATGAATTTTTAAATTTTTCAAAAATGTGAAAAACTCAAAAGGCTGTTTTCAAAATTTTCACTCACAACTTCAAAAACAACCCAAAATTATATTCATGTCCAAACACAACTCTAATTTTCAAATACCATTTTCACTTGAAAAAAAGAAATCCTTTTTTTTGAAATTTTACAATTCTTATATCCAAACGCTCACTTAATTTTTTTCCTTTAATTTCTCAACCAATATTCAATTTCTATTTTGAGGTCCGACTAATTTATATTTGCGTCAAAAAATCTTACTTGTGAATAATGCACTCTCTATCAAACGCGACTTTATACTAGGGATAGAGGAATACTTCACTCAAACTATTGATACTGTTACTCCTTTTTATTGAATGAAAAACTCTCTTCTTGGGGAAAAAAAATTTGTTCTTCCTTTTTCTAATGACTTAAATTAATTTGCATCACATTTCCATAGTTCCTCTGTTTCGTTACATGTGGTACTTCCCTTATTGATTTGTTTAAATAAAAATGTCACCTTTTATGGTATTTAAAAATAGGGAAATTTGTACTTATAATCCTTCAAATGGTGACAAAATATGATTTTGATTCTTTTTCTAGTGAACATTCGCAAACTTAATGAATTACTAACCTGTCACTTGTGACTCGTGTTATTGTCGAATTTGTAATGTACTCCAAATTTGAGGTTCATATAATTCTGAATTAATGTGTAAATTAATTAAAGAGGACCAAAAATACATATTTTACTTAATTCAAGGTTAAACAAGCATGTTTCACAAAGAATCATAAACAAAAATCAGAATATATTAACAATTGAGGGATCAAAAGTTCAAATATCCATTGAAAATAATTTGATTTTATACTTCTCATTTTACTTTAATGACATAATTTTATAACCTCAAAAATGTCATGATATATTTAAGACTGCAAATTTCAAAACTCTTAGCTTTAAATTTTGCATTTTACCTTTAATGACATGATTTTATAATCCCTAAACTGTCATGATATATTTAAGACTATAAGTTTCAAAACTCTTATTTTCTTTCTTTTTTTGAATTTCACGTTCAGTCAAACACCTTCATATAAAATGAAAAGATTAAAGAATTTGGAATAAAAATCATTTGACTTGGATAAATCACCTAAGCGGGAAAAAATAATTAAAATATTATAATTTAAAAAATTACTATATGTGATTAATAATTTAAAGGAAGAAATAAGCATTACATGAAATAAGAGGAGAAAATTGTTGAGAGTTTATCGTAGGATGAGGCATTTGATTTTTAAGGTAATCTGAGTCGAAACATGATTTTCACCCTATACGATTACAACATCTAGTTTTGAGAATTAAACAAAATAAGTTTTCTTAAATTATTACTATTACAAACTGTTAGTACTGTATTTGTAAAATAATTCTGGAAATATAAATGAACATAAACAGAAATGAACATAAACAGGAATGAACTACGAAATAACAGAAAACCAATTCGAGCCCACTGAATTCACAATGTTTCCTTAAGGAATTTATCCCCTCCTAGTACCCAAGGTTATGGATTATTTCCTCTCAGGATAGAACGAATTACACACTGGTGTAGTGTACTTCAAACTCCAGTGTTTCAGCGAACACAAAGTTCGGTAGCAAATCACACTTACTGTTGCTTTGTTTGATGTTTAAACTATGCAGAAGGAGGAGAAACTCAGAAAATAGTATGGAAATTCTGAGCAGAATAGCCTTATATCTATAGCCAAAGTTGGGCTGAAATCTAAAGAGGTGCAACTCTTCAGAATGGCTGTTTCTGCAAAACGGTCACTGCATAAATGGCTATTTACTCAACAATAAAGAGGGAAAATAAAGAGGGAAAATAAAGAGGGTAATTAATTTTCTGTTACCAAAATAGGAAAAAAGGATTGGAAGATTTAATATTAATATTTATTTTAATATTAATATTCTGTTATTAAAACAAATATTTAATAACATTTCTGTTAATATTTTACTATTAATAAATAAATTTGGTCCAAAAAGTTAATCAATCAATTAACCGAAGCCGAATCCTAGCGAGCGACGACGACGGCGCGACGCTTGCCTTCTTCTCAACTCTTTAAGAGCTAGAAGAAGAGCAATTGCTTATTTACCCATAAAACCTCTTCCTTTTCATATGGGACAATGTCCATTTGCCAAGTGGGGAAACTTAAAATTTCACTCAAAAATTTCATTTCCCTTCATTTCTCATTCACCCTCTTTTAAGTATTTAATATATTAATTAAATACAAAAAAAAAAACCAACACAAACAAATTTAAATCAGTTATATGAATCCTAATCATATTTTTCCATTTAAATTTATCTCAAAAGTCAACAATATACTAAGTAGAAATAAGTTAAAATACAAACATTTTATTTAGCAAGAAAAAATAATAATTAAGAACTGCTTCCCCAATGCACTCAACAGAGGGTCATAAATGTCTTACATTCTTACTTTTTTTCGAATAAATAAAGATTTATCATTTGATTTCCACCAAAGATAAATGCATCATGCCATAAATATTTTTTTAAAAAAACTAAGCAGTCGCGTGCTTTTCATATATTGATACTTGATCATTTTTACTAGAGTTGAATCAAATCCCAATTAACGAATCAAATATATATTTTTTTTATTACAAGAGTTATTGATTACGCTTAAGTTGCAGTTATTCCATTTCTGTTACCAGAACAAGTGATAGAAGACAAATGAAGATAACATTTTCGCGGGCAATTTGTCGAGCAACACTTGATTAATGTAATAAATAAATAATTGAGGTACTTCTGGACTGCAGAGACAAGAAGTCTATCTCACACCATGATTGGAACATCGTTACCCAATATTTTATAATGTATTGTATTGTACTATTTTATGGATAAAACGTTGAATAAATTATATCGTTTGCAGTTGTTAAATAACATTTTTGTTGTTTGGTTTGACTGTATCGTACTATACTGCAACTAATATGTTCTCTAAACTACCCCAATTGTTTTAAATAAAATTTATCAAGAACTACACATAAAAATAATTTAAGAAAACCTCTTTCTACTAATTTATCATTAATTACGTAATTGGAAACAAGAGCAAAAACCTGAGAAAAAAAAGTTAATTAATATTAGCTAAAAAAATATTAAAACGATAGAAAGAGACAGAATCAAACAGAGACTTGGATAAAAAATAAGGGACAAACCAACTATAAAAAAGATGAAAGAAGACAAAGTAGGCCAATAGGTTAAAGATTTAAAGTTAAAATTAAAAAAAAAATTAAATGATAAAATAAAATTATAGAATAACAAGTAAGAACATAATTAGAAAAGAAAATAGGAAACAATCCCACCACACCAAATCGGTTGTTTCATAAAATGGGGCTTTTGATTGTTCCGGGACAATGAATTTACAATACGATACAATCAATTTTCTAGGTTTTTTTTCTGAGTGTTAAAACGATAGATTTTGCTTTTGCCAATGAATTGGATCCGCCCCAATTCGATCAATAATGAGATTCTTGGCTAGAGAAAGGTTCTGTGACATGGACGCCCAACCCAACTCGGTCGGTCGGCCCACCTAACAGATGATGAGATTCTCGATCGATTTGATCGAATTTCAAAAAGTCTTTCTCACTATTCAGAACAGTGGAGCTTTCGATCAAGATCTTCTCGCCTCACCCTTTTGGGCTCTCGCTTGAATCAATTTTAAATAAACAATCAAACCAAACATTATTTTGGGATAACAATACAATACGATACAATGGATAACAACCATCCAAACAAGCTCCCAAAATAGATTGCACCCAAAATAGATTGCACCATTCGTATTTAGTACAATTTTATTTAAATACACAAGTATTCACTCTCCGCCTTTTTCTCTTTCCCCTGCCCTCTTAATCCTGTAATGGGTAAGATCTTACCCGATATTTACATGAGATCAATATATTTTGCTATGGTTAAGTAATAAATGAGGTGAAAATGCACAATAATTTACCATGGTTAGATGAGTAAAAGAGTATTCAGAAAACACATGTATGTTACCATTGATTTGATATCAATATCGGATGCGAATAAATTATAACTTGCTTGGAGTCTAACTTCAATTTCTGTGCACTGATAGTGTAAAAATTTTACACCATTACTGCAATTTAACCAGTTATAACAAGTTACTACTCTGTTTTCTAGGTTACCATCTCAGGCTTGACATAGCATTCCACAATTTTTGTTGATCAACTTACCCAATATTGCAAAAATTCTTACATTGTCAGTGCACAGAACATAAAACTCAAAAGCAAATTATTAGCTGCCCTGCACAATTGAGTATTGGCGCCGCAAAAGGCAATGTTGTGACGTAGTGGCAATTGAGAGGAGCAGGGCAAGCAAAGGAGACTACTGCCAATTTCAACAAAAAGAAGACACAGCCAATGTTCACTTTCAACTCCGAATAGATCTCTCAGTTGATGGATAAAAAATATCATCCAAGTATATGAGTACACAACCAGGTTTATATCCTTCAGCCCAACTGAAACTGCTCACAATGTAAACTTCTGCTAAAGAGGGCATAGCAGCATTTCAGGTGAAAATGACTCGGGAAATAAAAGTGTCAATTCCTATTACACGTTATTAACACAGTATAAACAAACAGAAATAAGGGCATAGTTAAAGGTTGTGCAATCCATATGGCATCACATGAATCACTGCATAAAATCTGGTCGCTTNGGTTAAAGCATTTTCAGTTTCTTTTCTCTCTTTTTTTACAGTTCAAATTTTGACGTTGTAGATGCTTAATGGGGATTAGAATCAAAATGATAACATCATAGGAAACATATTGCTGTAAATGGAGGCTTGAAACAGGGAGAGCAATCATTTGCAAAAATTGAACTTAACTTAAACCTCATTCCTTCTTTTTTTTTTCCCAGATAACATATTAGTAAAAACTATACATAGAAACTTGATGCTGTTAAGAAAAGTAATAGATCAGACAAACCATTTTCATATTGCAAATTATTAAAGTAACAGAAGCTCAAGTATAGGATGACAATCTGCTAGGAAAGCATACCTTTCTGCACCTGTTCCCAAATCCTTATAACTTTCTGATGCTTAAGTCGAAAAAAGAAACGAAATCACAGGTTGAATATATCCCTCAGCCTCGATGAATGAGCACCTCCTTTATCACATTCCTGGCTTCGCTACACAACACATCTGAATCATTTCCTTTTAAAGGCTGGTGGACGACAACTTTAACTAATCCTGGATATACTCTACCCTCCAGCCCTGCTGGCATTATGCTGCCTGTTCCGGTAATAGTAATTGGAACCACAGGCACTCCGGTTTTGGCAGCAACACTAAAGGCACCTTTCTGCATCACCAGCAAGGAAAAAAAATAGATAAGAGCTAAACAGAAGGCCAGCGCGCCTTCACTAGTTTTATTTACTATAAATTCTTGTAATCAATGACCCATAAAAAAGAATACCAGACTATGGTTCCATGAGTTGACTAAGGCCTTGTGCTTAATAGCCAAGGCATCAAGGCCTTCAAAATTACTTTGACATTAATTACTTTCTCCATTTGTGCAAGCTACATAGTGAGTTTTCCCCTATTTTTTGGGTGTGTGGAGGTGACTGGGATGAGGCTGGG